TATATATATATATATATAGTGGGATTTTCTTGAGTATGTTGACTCTTCCAGAGAGACAGACATGTTGGTACAAGGCAAGGGATCCTACAGTGCCAGGGGAACCAAGAATCTCTAGGAGAGGCATAATATTAATACTCATGATTTTCAGTAGGCTCACACACTGCTAAGTACCCATGATCTCTGATCCCTCCATTTCTCCAGCCAGAAGTCTTGAGAGAGGAAGAAGAGTATGGGAGTGGGTGATTTAGAGTCACCTCTTGGGAACCCAGAATGGGGTGTTGCTCTCCTTTTCCCAATCCTTTCATGTCTGTGCTCATTCTTCATTCCTCATGGACTGGATATAATCAGAGTCCATCCTCCAGAGGAAGTGGGAGTGAGAAGAAAAGAGACTGCATATATAGGAAGGGGCAGAAAGGCAGTTGTGCTACCATACGCCAACTTGAAACTTTCTTAAATTAAAGACTTGAGGTGAACAGTATTGTAACTGCTATAACAAAAACCATGTCACATTTTGCAATAGCTTCCTAAAATGTATGTTCACTGACTTAGCATTTTAATAGCTTAGGGTTAATTACAGTATCAATTGGAAACTTCTTTTACTCTCCCATCTTAGAAATCTACAAAAATTGCTAACGAAATTTAGTTTACTCCTTGACCCAGAAAAGCAACCTGTATTCCTACATATTATTTCCTTCCATTTGACAACTCAGTCCATGGTCACTTGATTAGGTGCAGAAACTAGTTAAACATCTTATGAAAATTTAAGATAATCCTCAGGGTTTCCTTTTTATCCCAAAGAAAATGAGATATTGACATAAAATTACAGCCAGCTGAAGGTTAAGCTAGGATCAAAGTTTCCAATTCTTTGGTTGCACACATTACACAAACTCCCTTATCCATGATATATATTGATACACATTAAGTTGAATTTAACATGGGAACTGACATGGAAAATATATGATTTATAATGTCAAGAATATTTTAAAATGTGAAAACTGGGGGTGTCTGGCTGACTCAGTTGGTACAGTATCAGACTCTTGATCTCGGGGTCTTGAGTTCAAGCCCCATGCTGGACGTAGAACTTACTTAAAAAAAGAAAGAGAAATAAAAATGTGAAACTTCAACAAGAGATATGAGAGAAAACTTATTGAACAAAGAAAATGACAATTCTTTATCAAAAGATATTTTTAAATTAAGCAATGTTTTTTAGTTAGAAAATTAAATTTAAAATTTAACTGGCAAATCAAATTCAAAGGAAAGGTTGTTCAACCATGAGCAACTACATAAATTCCAGACATTCTTTGATCATAAGGAATGACTAGGTAAATGAATGGCCACATTAATTAATCATACTATTCAACAAAATAATCAAAATTTATTGTTGATATTGCTGTTTTTGTTTTTTGTTTCTTTTTACCTGGTTGCCAAAGAGGTTGAATCCATTAATTGCTTCTAGAGCTGCTTTTGCTAAGCCAACAGAGCTAAAAGGAAAAAGGAAATACTGTATAATTCGGATGTATATGGCTACAAAATAACCATTATCTAATGAATATTCACAAGCAAGTTTCTTTATTATCACTTATAACAACTTCCATGAGAAAAATAATGTTTAAGAGACTTTAATCTGACATTTCACTATTTTAATTTTTCTTTTTTATGGTTAGTGATCTTCTGGGAAAAATATTTCTAAGTTCACCTTGATCTAGACAAATGGTCATACTGTTGGTGGGAGTAGTTTTAATCCCAGTATCATTTATATTCACTAACTCAAGAAAAAAAAAAAAAGATGAACTTTAGAGGAAGGTGTATTATGATGACATGTACTCAGTAATAACCAGATTGGGCATCATTAGTTCAGATCAATTTAACAGAACTTTTCTGACATCAACTCTGAGCTTTAAAAAAGATCTTGCACGTCATACACTTACCAGAGTTTAATAGGAGTTTAATACAACCATTCAAATGCTCTTTGCTTAGGGTCCAATAAAATTGGCATTATTTTATGCTCAAAGAACAAATGATCACCACACCTCTCATTTATTTGCTATACTCTTCTCTTTGTGTAAAATCTGTACCCTTTTGGTCTCTCAAATGTCATATACAATAGTGCTAAAAAGTGGGAAGACCCCAATTTCATTAAAAATGTGACACTGTCATCTTATAAAGACCAACCTTTAAGTATTTTAGATCAAATACCTGGCTTATTTTACTTATTATAATTTCTTTTTTTTTTTTTTTTTTTTTTTTTTTTTTTTTACTTAAAGCAACTGCGTATGCCATTAATATCATTTAGAAGTCATGACCTGTCATCATTTAAATATTTCTTTAAAGCAGTGATTACAGTGCAGTAATCCCCAGAGCAGTGCAGTGTGGTCCCCAGAGCAGCAGCATTCCCTGGGAACTTGTTAGAAATGCCAGTTCTCACTCCTCTCTGGGAGTGGGACCCAACAGTGTTAAAAAGCCCTCTACATTCTTGAATATACTTTAAATTTGAGAAGCACTGTTTTAAGCTAATCATGTCATTGCCATCCATATTTTCTATGAGTTGTTTACACGAAATGTTCTCAAGTAAGACTACTACTTTTATTACCAGATAGGGAAATCTATTTTGAAAGAATAGAAAGAAGTGGGAAACTTATTTTGAAATATATGGATGGAAAGGTGGAGCAGACATAACTTTCCCTATTCCTTTCACTAAATATAACTAAAAACCTTGCACATTATATAAGCAAACATAAAAAGGTTCAGAAAATGGGGGAAAAAGGCAGACTGGCTAAGAACCTCAGGATTTTAGGAACAACACTGTGGTAAACACCTTGAGTTTCCTTTTTGCCTCATATATAACAGACTTAACGAAGTCAACAACTAGGAAATGTCAGTAGGTACATTTAAAAAAGCCCCAACAAAAGCCTGTTCTCTCTAGCCAAAGGACGAGGAATAGGGAAGCCCAATAAAACAGAAAACTTTAGACAATAACCATTCAGAAAAAGACCGTGGTCCTTATCTCCACCCAGTCCTATAAAGGCTGAATGGGAAACCTAGACATCTACACTCCAGAGTCTATAATGAGGAACCATACCCAATCACCAACCCTCTCAGCTGTGGTGATATCAGAGAAGTCCAAGAAAGAAGCCAAGACTTTTTATTCCCAATGGGTGGTAAGAAGTTTCCCCTCCTCATACTGTGAGGATCACATGGAGAGCCTAGATTTCCACTCCTACCCATCAGTAATGAAATGAACCTCCCCGTCCTGCTGGAATGTCATCATAGGAGGTCCAATGGAGAGTTAGGTCTTTCACTAATGCCCAGCTCTAAGGCTACACCCTTTCCTGGAGGCCTGTTGGGAATAAGTAACGAAGCATTCCTATCCTTTCCAACCAGGAAGGTATCAGTGGAAGCCAACTGGGGAGCGATACATCCCACCCAGATCCAGAAGGAATGAAGACTCTCTATCTTGGGTGTCAACAAAAAACCTGGCAATACATTCTAAACTGGCAATAATAGAGTGATGCTCCTGTCCCCTTCCCCTACCAGAATGGTGTCAATAAAATACAGCTAAAGTAAAAGGTTAAAAAAAGATTCAGAGTTTTATAATATAATACCCAGATGTCCATGCCTTAATAAAAAAAAATCACTCATCATATCTAAAAACAGAAAGATCTCAAACTGAATGAAAAAGATAATCAATAAATGCTAATGGAAGAGATGTTAGAATTATGGGACAAAATTTTAAAACAGCCATGATAAAAATGCTTCATTGAGCAATTATGAATATGAGTGAAACAAATGACAAGATAGAAAGCCTCAGCTAAGAAACAGGCAGTCTCAGCAAACCTCTTAGAACTGAAAAATACAATAATCAGAGCAAAAGGCTTAATGGACAAGATTGATGGCAGAATGGAGAAGACAGAAGAAAAAAACAACTAGATTAAAAGATAAAACAATAGAAATTATCCAGTCTTAACAAAAGACTCTAAAAAACAATGAAAAGAGCCTCAGGGATCTATGGGACTGTAACAAAAAATCTAACATTCAAGTAACTGGACTCCCTGAAGGAGAGGAGAAAAAGGGCAGGGCTAAAAAAAGTACTTGAAATTATGGCAGAAAACTACCTAATTAGCAAATGACAAAAGCTACAGATTCAAGTAGCTAACTCAAACAGAATAAAATAAAAATATCTATGCTAGGACACACCATAGTTTTGAAAACTAATACAAATTAAAAATCTTGAAAGGGGGCACGTGGCTGGCTCAGTCAGTGGAGCTTGCCATTCTTGATCTCAGGTTAGTGAGTCTGAGCTATATGTTGGGTGTGGAAATTACTTAAAAACAAAAAAATCTTTTAAAAAAAAAAAAAGTCTTGGGGCGCCTGGGTGGCGCAGTCGGTTAAGCGTCCGACTTCAGCCAGGTCACGATCTCGCAGTCCGTGAGTTCGAGCCCCGCGTCGGGGTCTGGGCTGATGGCTCAGCGCCTGGAGCCTGTTTCAGATTCTGTGTCTCCCTCTCTCTCTGCCCCTCCCCCGTTCATGCTCTGTCTCTCTCTGTCCCAAAAATAAATAAACGTTGAAAAAAAAAAATTAAAAAAAAAAAAAAAAAAAA